TTAATGATCATCAGAAGCAAGGAAGTGGTGATGCAGCTACTACTTCTGGTGGGTATTGGACTGGGATGTTGAGTGGAGGATCATGGGGCTAATTACTCAGTTTGAATATGATAGTATCTATTAATGGTTAATTATTGCTATTTATTTAATTAATCAATCTCTCTTCTTAATGTCACTTGTTGATTTTTCTTATAATTGGTGGGTTTTTTTTTTCTGTTTCTTTTTGTTAATTTTGGGGTTAATTTGGATTTTATTGGGGGTGCATGCATATTGAATGACTTTTAATTTGTTTTGAATTTTGTTATCTCTAACACAGATTATAAATGATACATTGGTTGGTCTTTTGACGTTCCTTCTCATGTTGATTCTATTTTCCTGTTCTTTCCCCCAAGAAGTTACATTACAAAAAAAAAGTTAATGTGATATTTTTTGTATATGTAACTAATTATATGCAACGCATGGATAATATAAAAAAATTAAGATAGATTAAAAGTAAAAGAGACAGGCAAGCTCTGATGTCTTTCACATGATCCTCACTAAATACACTTATCTATTATTTATTGTTAAAGATGGGTTAGCCCTACCATGCATCCCAATTACTTAATAAAACCATATTCCATTTAATTCCCATCTAAATTTAAATTAATGGGTTCGTACCTGACCAGAAATAATTGATTGGGTATTAACGAGTGAAGGTACCTAAATTGATGCATTTTGATTATATACATGTCATGGTTAAGTTTGGGAAATTTTATGGATTATTCCAGATAGTTTTGGTTAGGAAAACAAGTTGAAATGAACAAAGTGTGTTTTGATGTGAAGACTGAATAATTCAATTAAAAATACTTGAAAATAAAGAGAGGGAAGAAGAATAATGTGAGCGACAAGTCAGAAGTCTAAGGATTAAAGAAGGAGGGCCCCACAAAAACATTCTCCTTGAAATCTGTGTGTATGAAATAATACATCCCACTATTGTTTTTCGACTTCATCAATCTAGATCTTGACCGTTGCTCTTTCTTTTTTCTCCTGTTTTATATTTATTTAATCAATTTCTTTATGTTTTTGCTTACACTGAAAGCACGTACAAATATTATATTTTATTATGAACGACAAGAAAATATATTACCTTTTTATATTTTATTGAAACTTAAATTTAGTAACAAAAGTTTTTTTTTTAAAATTTTAGTAACAAAAGTTGAAGTCGAGTTGAAAATTTCAGCTACAAATATAGTTTTCATGGGCTATATACACTACGCATAAATTTATCTAATCTTACTCAGTATAGATTAGTACGTAAAAACCGTGGATAAATTTGGAATTAGATTGTGAACAAAATAAAAATAAAAATTGGAACTCTATTGTATAAAACAAAAATAGTGTCGACCTTTTGATGTTAGAAATCACCCGGTCAAATGGCTGTTGACGAATATTTCAACTATCAAGATAGGAAAGATAATCAAAGTTTCAAAAGAAAAAAACAGATAGGCCGGAAAGATATTTCAACTATC